CTCACGGATAATAGGCCACGGTGTAACACACGCTAGCCAATTAAAAACGTTACTATTGTATTTATATGACGTCTGTGGGCGAACCTAAATTCTGCGGCTGCACGGCAATACTACGGACGACAAGCGGCAATATATATTTCATCTTGAACTTAAATTGATTTTTAATTTAATGTTTCTTTAATACCAACTTGGTTTTATTTTTAATGAAAGTATACCTATACTATATGATGTATTTGTAGTATTAAATAATAATAGGATTAATTACATAGTATTACAGCCAAACCTTACTTGTTATCTACAGTCAGCTGATTAGAATGCACTGTAATTTTACATTGTGACCAACACCAATATTGATATCGTCAGAAATTTCTTAGAAATGTTTTTTTATTTTATTTTTTTTCATCTCAGAATTTGCGTTCTTTGCGTTAAAATTGTGACATATTATAATGTCAACCAAAACATGTAATTATCTTTAAGTAACAAATGGGACTGAACGTCAACGGTCTCTACTGACCATGTCTTCTGAAAATCTGGAAATTGTACACGAAGGATGGTTGACGAAATCACCTCCTGCAAAGAGAGTTCTGAAAGCAGTCAGTGTAAAATTGGTAAGTTCAATTATTCACGTTTATTTTTATTAGTATTCCTATATTAATAATATAATCAATTGTTTCTTGTTCTCTTACTGTTATTGTCTGTAATGTTATTTTTCATGTCAAATAATTGATTAGTATATACTTAATAATTCTAAAGATTTTTTTTAATGTTTTAACTACTTAAATATGTTAATATTTTGAATGTTCTCTTGAGTTTCTAACTTAATATATTTTTGTCAATTAATTCTTTGATGAATATCTATATGTCTTCTGTTGAAGTAGGAAGATATCACTAACAATTACAAATTAGGAAAAGAAATAGATATCTGGAAGCTAAAAAACTAGATTTATAAAAATACTTTTATTTAGGTAATTCATTGAATTATTATTATAAAATTGAATACTAGTCAATAACATCACTTACTTACTAAGAGTTATTTTTACATAGTTAAAAGATTTAGGTAAAAATAAATAACATTTTTGCACTTTATTAATGTTTGAAAGAAAATTATTAAACATTGTTATTATAATTTAATAGTCTTAAATAGTTTTAATAATAAATTTAATACATCTTAAGTTTCATAAAAACTTTTTATTTTTACACATCTTATGCTATGTTATGTTATTTAAGTAAATATATATTGTACTTACACCATATTAATTTTTACATAATAACCTAATGGTTCATTAATAATTTATAATATCTATTTGTTATATATCTTTTACTAGTTTATAATTTTGTTTACTTTAATTAAGTTTAAAAAAAAAAAAAATGTTTTAAATTTAGAAATGGCGTAGAAGATGGTTCGTGTTACGCCATTCTGGTGAATTACCTGGTCAATATTTTCTTGCTTATTATACAGATAAAAGTCGTAGAAAGATGAAAGGTCGAATAGACTTAGATCAATGTGAACAGGTAAGTTTTATTGCTTATTATTTGCTTTAAATTACCAATAGATTTAATTAATAATATTGTGTCTTAAACCTGCTAGTCAATAATTAGTTAACTCAATTACACTAAATATTTTTTTTGGTTTATTAGGTTGATGCCGGATTAAGATTTGAAGATCGCAAATCAAAATATCATTACATGTTTGATATTAAAACACCTAAAAGAACCTATTATTTAGCAGCAGAATCAGAAGAAGATATGAATAAATGGGTTGATTTTGTATGTCATGTTTGTGGTCTTAAGCCATTTACAGTTGATGAAAATGCTGGTAATTATTTAATTTATTCTAAACATTTTTAATTGCTTACCTTTAACTTTATTTTATTTTAGATTTTGAATGTCCATCTGTCAATAATATTTGTAGACCATTTCCTCTTAGTGTGGAAGAACATGATGAAGAACATTCATCTCCCGATTCGCCAACAAGCACATCTTCCAGTCATTACATTCCTATAAGTGAATGTATATCTGGAAAGCCTTTACTTCCAATTCTTCCTCGTTCAACTATAGAAGAGTCTTATGATTTACCTCGACGTATAAGACCTCCACCACGTCTTTCAGAATCACCTCCACCAAGTCCTGGTTCAGAATCTGTGTTTACTGATGATGAATCAATTAATGGTAGCACTTTGAGTCGACCATCTGTTAATTGGCAAACGTTCCCTCGTTTATCTCAAAACTCGCCAGACTTGCCAGTAGCAGCCAATAGAAGGTTTACCAAAATATTACCAGAAGGGTGTTTAACAGCACCACCAAGGCCACCAAAACCATCCCACCTAATAGAAACTTCAACAAAAACTGATAAACTCGTTGAACTTTTAACAGTAGATGAAACTTACGACTTTCCAAGGTCTCATCAAATAACATCACCCCAAGCACAGCCCAGAACACATCGTAGACATTGTTATACAAATGCAGCCCCAGGCCAAGTTTCTGGTAATATTTTCACTTATGATTTTGTGGAAGACTGTGGACCAAAAGTTGAAGAAGGTAAAACTGTAGAATTAGAATCTCCGAGTTTTATAAATTCACCTTCTGCAACTGCCAATGTAAGTTCCGCCTCATTAGAACAAACACCTCCTGCTGTTAATCGTCAATTAAAGCCAGGCAGAAAGTTTTCCGATACTTCAGCTGAACTCTCACCGTTGACTCCATTAGCTAATCCGCCAATTGTAAACCGAAGGCTAAAACCTACTCAAATTAAAAAAAACCAAGATTCCTTTTTTGGTAAATATAAACATATTTATTTATATATTATTATATATATTTTAACGCTTCTTATTTTTCAGATACGACTAGTACTCTAAGATTATGTCCGCCACCAATGGGTAGTTTGAGTCGTCAAAAATCTCGTATAGGACCTAATGTTGTTCCTATAAGTTTTGAACCTCGAATTCATAGGCGGCATTCAGCATCTGATGATCGACTAGCTTCAGATAAAGTAATTATTTATATTTCTTATTACAATAAAATGCAAGTTGATTCATTAATATTAATTATTTGTATAGGTAGTAAAATAAATTAATCAAAAATAAAAAAGTAATTTTAGAATTTCCCTTTTTTCATTATTGTAATTTACAATAAAATAAACTAATTTTAAAAATACAATCAAAAATTATTAAATTTTGGTTGAACTTAGTTTGGAAATTATAGTCAACTGAACTTTACATAGAAACTCTTGTATAATAACTAGAACCAGCAGACTTATTAAAAACCCAGTCAAATAAATAATATCAAAATGTGTTTTACCTCTACGCAATATTTAAATGTATGTTAAAAGCTTCAAATGGCTATAACATCTAAACTTTTCAAATTAAAACTAGTAATTTATTTTAGGTAGTTTTTGTTCTCACAACTAGAGATAAACAGATACAGTTCCATTAATTTATAATTTTTTATTCCTAATTTTTTTTTTTATTAACATTTTTAGGTATCCTCATATCAAATCAATAAGATTTCATCAAACTCACGATATCTAGCTGAAGCAAGTCGTTTCAATGATATTCAATATTTAGATCTAGAATTTGAATCTTGTGACAAACAATATGCAGTAGGTAACCGAACAACTGCAAAAACAACCACCAAGAAAAAAGCATGTAATGTAGGCAGTCAATTCACTTTAGTAATGCATGACTATACTATGATTGATGGTGCATACCCATATAAAACAGTAGATTTTTTGAAAACTGCTGCTTTGTCAATGACTAGAAAACGTGCTGAGCAAGAACGACGATTTGGTAGACAAAACATGGTAAATTAAATATTTTAGGGTGCTTAATTATGATCACAAAATGCTTAACTTGTCACATATTTTAAGTTAAGTAATAATTGAGCGACTATTGGCTCTTAACATTTACATATCTTAGATCAATCAAAGCTTACAATTATAGTTTTTATATAACTTGGGACTTTCATGTTGAAACTAAATGAAATTATATAAATATTAAATACATTAATATAGTCTATATGTTAATTATTTACTATAATTTATGAACAATCCATAAACACTTGTTAAAAAACCAATTTTTTTTCAATTTTTCTTTAAAGTTTATAAAGTTTGGACATATAATTTTAGTTAATTATTAAATAATTCTGTGCATATCATCTTAAATTATTATAAATTACCCATTTAATTAAAGAACAACAATTTAATTTACACAAGGTATTTAGAATATAACGTTCAATACAAAAAGTAGTGTTACTTTACTCATTAAATTATTTTTTATCACCAAATATTTAAATCTTGAAGTATTTTAAAAGAAAAATATTGTCAATTATTTAATGTATGAATGATAATCAAAATATTAATTTAACTGGGTGTTTTTTAGTAGATAATAAAATTAGTTTAACAGGTCTTGAAAATATACACATTAAATATATTTTTATAAAAAATTAAAACTACATTATTAATAAACATATCTCTATGAACTGGTTAATTTACATATTTGTGATAGTATTAAAAATTAAATGCGTATCAACAAATTCGATAACTTCGTAAGGGTTTGCCATTTTATATAGGTCTGATCATACAAACTTATAATTTAGATTTTGTTTTGATATTTATTTTAATATGAATCCTAATATGTAAAATTATGTGTTTAATATTTTTGTGTGACTTAAGTAATTTTAGTTTAATACTTAATATTCTGTAACTTAATTGACATAAACCTATTTGACCCACATCAGTATGTATTGTCTCTACATTAGCAGCCACATCAAATAATTTCAAATTTTTACTTAAACTTAAAATTTATACTTATTATAAATTGATATGATTAAAACTTCAAGTAATTTTGGTGATTTATTTTTTGTTTATAAAAAATGTATTTTTTTTTTTTTTTATCAAAACTGTTAATTTCCTAGTTATTTATTTTTTTTTGTCGCCCAATATTTAATTTTTTTAAGAAAATTAAACCAAGATTATTTTGTAAAACATTTATACAAATTTGTTGATTTTTAGGTGAATATATGTTTTCATTAAATTTTAATATTTGTGTTTAAATTGACTATACATTTGTTTATGATTTATTATATAATTATTAATATTTTGGCTTATATGACCACCCATTGAAGTACTCATGTAATCTTGTTATCCATTTATGATATAAGAAGACAATCTCATTACAAATATTTATGCATTATTTTGATTATACTTACTTATACCATAGTCAAATTATAATTATTATTTTATTTATTATATTTATACATAATTTAAAATGTTTAATTACCTAATATGTTCATTATTTTTATAACATTTATATAATATGATTAAAAAACAATACTTTAATGAGGTTAGGCTAAATTAAATAGCCTAAGTTATTTTCTGATATATTTAGACTGTTAAAATTATATATTTTTAAAGTTTATACGTATTATTATTTTTATTAAAATTACCAAAAAAAATATATATATATATTGATATTAAATTTTATTTTATATTGCCAATATTGTTTTATTTCTTTATCTATGCCTTATAATTCTATTTAAACATGTTAAGTAAATTAATAAATATAAGTTATTCTTTTAGTTAAAGTCTTATAATTTTGATAACAGCATATCCAACTGTTATATCACACATTCCTGTATGGCTGTATTGACATATCATGTATTCCTTTTAATTATTAACTTTTTAACATTCAATAATGATTTATTCTTAATAAGTTGTGTTGTTAATTTATTTCATTCTAAAAACAAAGATTGAGGCCAGAAGCTGCTTAATTTTTTTCTTTTAATTTTAGTATTAGGTTAAAATTTGAATTAAGTATGTATCAGGCCATTTTTTAATGTTATATTTTATATTTAAATGGACACACAGTAAAGTTGTTAACCTTGTGTCCACTAAAATAAATATCTAGTAAATTATAGTAACTCCAATATATTATTATCTTTTAGATTCTTAATAAAAAAAAATGTAAACTTAATTATCATTCTAATAAATCAATGAGAACAGAAAGACATGTCTCATTATACCATTGAATTCTATAATTAATGTTAAAACCAAATAAAAACTAACCACAAAATTAGTTTATTGGAAGAAATCATTAATAATCATTTGTTAATAATTTCATTAAGTAATATTGATACAGTCTACACCCTACTATGACCTAAGGCCTGCTTTTATGCTTTTATCAAAAATAAAGAATGAAGATATAGAAAACTAAATCTCAATAGTCAATATTTACCAATATCGTGATTTTTTAAGTAAATTTTTTAGGAAAAATAAAATAAAATGTTTTACAACAACCTATTCAAAATTCCAAAGACAGAACTTAAATATATCATTATTTATTGTACACTTAGAAGAACTAGTTCTTAAAATTATTATTTAAATATGTAATTTATGTATTACATTATAAGAAGTTAAAATGTAATTATGTTTTGTTTTTACTATAAAAGTTGTATGTTATTTCCTATAAAATATATCTAATTATTTAATCTGAAGAAAATTATTTTAGTTCGTATCTACACTATATGATTAAATACATTTTGTTTTTTTTAATGTTTCTATAAATGTATGATAATTTTAAAAAGTTAGTAGTTATAATAATAATACTATTTATGATATCAGAAATGTTTATATGAATAAATACTGTCTTACAACATTATAGTGTATTTTGGTCAGGGATGAGCAACTAAAATTTACTAAAGAACCAATTTTTTAGAAAATTAAAATCTAGCGGACCAGAACATTAGAAAAAAAATACCATACAAGAATTCCAATAAGGTTTTCGCCCAAAATATACTATTTTTAACTAACTTTGTGGAATTGTTGATCTTATTTGCTAATTCCATTGTCTCCATTGAAACGAAAAAAAAAATTCAGCTGTAGTTACTTATTTTTTAGCGTTGTACAAGGATTTTACTTTGTAATTTATACAGTCATACAGTATATATTATATAATATTATGTTCGATAACCATATTATAGATCTAGTAATCATGAATTTTATACTGTATTAAAATTATTTAATGTAATGCAATTTAAAAGTTGTACTTGCGAACGAGTATTTTTGAAATTAACTATAGTACGAGGGGCAATCAAAAAGTAAGTTGCATTTTACCTTAAGTCAAAAAATCATATCTACGATTTTAGGAAAGAAAAAAAGTTTATTAAAAAGTACACATATAATAGTCTATTTTTTGATATATTCACCAAAAAAGTCTAAATTTTTCGTATCATGGTATGAATTTGAAATTTATTTTTTTAAATTTTTATATAATATGTTCTTATTTTTATATTTATTTCTTATAATTTTAAAGAATTTAAAGTTTTATTTTTAAATTCAAAAACTTGTTGACATACTCAGGTTCAACAGATTCGATAAATTAATGTCATGTGTACATTAAATTTGATTCTATATACTATTTGTACTTAAAAATATTCTAAGTTTTTAATTTACGATAAGAAAAAGTATTAAAAAAAAAAAAAATTAGAGGTAGGTATCTACTTTCTAAATATTAGAATACTAATTGTTCCAGGTTCGACCAAAAATTTAAATTGGTGTACGACTATACATTACTTACAAGCTTTCTAATTCATTTGTTTTTGTAATCTGTATGATTACCAAAGCGCTAAAGTATGATACAAACCTCTTTCTATACGAAGACCTCAGAGTTCTTACTGTCAAAAAGACTGCAGCCATTTCCTATCTAAGACTTCTTTCCAAAATGCAAGGTCATTTAAACAAGCTGATATCTAAACTACACAAAAATCACTTTCAGGCAATCCAAGCAAACGCCTCAATATAAGAATTGTTTAAAAGATCTTTTAGTACCTACTTTATAATTTATATTAAATTCGTGTAAAAATAACTCTATTTTGAGGTTCCTCTTCATTGTCCGTTATTATCAATCTTCCCTCAAATTTATTCAATGTAGGTACATATGGTATAGATTGTAAATACCTATATCAATAACCGTTGATTATTGAAAACAAAAAAAATTATACTTAGTCTACCAATATTTCACTGAATTTATCATACTAACCATTTAATTATTTATATCATTTATAATTATTTAATGTTTTCAGTAAAAATAAGTAAGCTATAAGAATTTATGTTTATATTTTGTATGTTGTGTAATGATTACATAGTCCAGTCTTTATTAAATAAATAATCGTTTAATGTATATATTTCATGTACTTTGACATGTTTATAGCCTAAATTAATTTCAGATATTTACTGATTTACTAAAAGTAAACCATTAGGTATGTTTTTTGTACCTAGTTCTATCATCTAAATAAATAAAAACATCATTTCATGTTTATGTACATCTATTCTTGTTTATCATATTTTTTACAGTCATACAGACCAATTGGTAATCTGGATTCCTATAAGTTATCATCTAGAAAAAATAATTTTGATCAGTAATTTTTTTATACAAAATGTTCCATTCTACAAGATTTGTATTTTATATGGTAAGTCTTACGAAAAATAGATAATTTTAAATAATAGCGTTTAATTTAAATGAGAGTTTATATCAATGGGTAATGGGTATTTAATATTTAAAATTATTCAAATAATTCATACGTGGTTTGAATTCTGCATATTACATAAAATATCCAATGTATAAAATAATCGTCGTTTTTAAATTTTTAAATTTTCTTAGTTTTTTTTTATTTGGTATGTTACCACATCTTTTTGAAACATTGGATAATAATGCTTTGATCATCAACTTTAAGAGTGACTTATGATAAAAAAAAAGATTTTAGTTAATTCCTTCTTTGGAAAGAAGGATAACGTAAAACAATTCAAGTAATTTAAAAAAATAAAAAGAGAATATCTATTTAAAATATTCATGTAAAACTAGTTTTATTTTTATATTTATTTTTTTAATTCAAAATTAAACAGCTTGAGAATTTTTCAATAGATATTGTTAATGATTCTTAATAACTAATAAGTAATAAGTATGAATTAATCTTCAAAACATTTTGGCTCTTTTTGTGCTTTGTACAAATAGGTACATGACTTTTTAGTTTTTTCACACCATACATGATAACATTTTTTCTTTGTATAATAAATTAATAAATAATAACTAAAAAAGCTTGTTTATTTAATTCACTGACGAGTTACATAAATACCAAAATATCCGAAACTTATCATACAGCAAAGCGACTTTTCTAGTTTTATAATATTATTCATTATTTATTTGACAATTTAATTAATATCGATGTAATAAAAATGTACATAATATATATTTCAAAAGTTCCGCAAAGCGGGGAAAAAGATTAAACCGACCATCAATTCTTAAAATACACTGTTGCTCCTATGAGTATCTAGCATTATATTAATCACCATGTTCAATTCATCAATTACTTACATTTTATAAATGTTTTACATATTATATTATTTTTGTAACCCTCCTAAAGATTAATATTTCATGAATAAGTATTGTATACGATAAAAAAAAAAAAAAAAACAAACAAATAAGTCAATGCGGGAAGCATGTCATTAATCATTATCGTGTTATGTGGGCAGGTATCATGACTTAAAACTAGTTTATAGATCTATACGGTAGCTTTATAATATAATAATATAGTGAGTTCCACCTAATGTGATCAGTGGTTTATAGAATCAACAGTTTATTGGAATAAAAAACCCCTGAACCAAATTTTATGTTACTAATGAGTAATGAGTAATGATAAATTGATTTTACATAAGAATCATTTTAGATTTAACAATTTAAGTTTAAAGACCAATTTTATTTTTGAACAAATCATTGTAGTGTATCATTGTACGTCACATACTTAAGCTATTGATATGAAAAAGTGAAAAGATTTATCAATAAAAGAAAAAAATATATACGTTTTGAAGTTAAAAAAACGTTCGCAAAGAAAATCCGCATCAGATTTAAAAATGTCTCATTCTACATTAAAAAACATTTTAAAATATCGTGAGCAAATTGTTGAATAATATAGAGAATAAAATTTGCATAACATACCATATATATAAGTTTTAGTTTCATGGTAATATAAAAATCAAATTAGACAACATTCAAGTCCAATCTGAAATTGATAGCTTTTTTTTCGTATTTTAAATGTATTTTTTTCTTATTTATATTTTCTATGCTATTTTAATTAAATTTCTAATAAGTATATGTATAATTGTATATACTATAAAATATATAAATGTTTTATGAAATCAACCGGCTAATATAATCAAAACGACCTGTAGGTTCCAATGTAATCACATTAAGCGAAACTCAATGTATTATGTTTCACTATGCTTGATAATTTATTGTTCACGACGAAAAATCGTAAAAGATCTTGTTAGTCGAAAATCGGCACTCAATCGGTATAGCGGTTAGTGGTGAACAAATGATAAATTGTCTAAAATGCGATATTATGACAAATATATTTTGGAAACCAGCTACCCTTGTTGTCATTGAGAATTTTTTACAATACTGAACTACCATCTTTCCGCTCTCCGATACAGAAACTCGGAGTGAGTTTTTTCTAAAAATTAAATTTACGTAGATATGACTTTATGAGATTTGGGTATTTTTCAGTCGTATATATTTTATGTTTGTCTAATTTGTTTTCATCAACGCGGCGAGTACCGGAGTACGGGACAGCAATGGTTCGATTTTTAGTCGTTAGTCTTGCTGAAACTCTAATAGCATTTAAATAGAATTTATTATTTTTATTCAGTAACATATTCAAAGTCAGATCGACCGGATGGGTAGAACACGATTCCGCACGTTCATTGTTCGATATTACCTTTTTTTTCTACCCAAATACTTATTGTATTTGATTGCGACGTTGCCATGAGGAATACGATTCCGCACGTTTTTTCTTTTAACATGAGATTGATACAATTAGTGCATAATATTTAGGCACCTGAACTTTCCACTTCTTTACTACGATATTTCAAGTTCAAGCTAATTAAAATTAAGATAATTTGAGTCTTTTGATAAAGTCGATAAAGATAACAATATACTATAAATAGACGGCAAATGGACATCGTATGGTGCAAAGGCGAAACTGTAATATTTTAGGTATATACCACAATTTACCGAGCATCCGAGTTTGTATGATATTTGATAATGACAAGATTATTTTATACTTGTTGGTTAATTATTATATTATTGGCTTTATGTATCAAGGGAAAATATTATAAAACATTATATTAAATTATTATATTATTAAATTTAAAATTATTAAAATTATTTTTTGTAATGACAATTATGAGATCGTAATAAACTGTTTGTAATAAATTTGACAACGTTGCACCCAATTCTTATTGTATTCCTATAAACAATTAAGTGTGCGGAATCGTGTTCAAAAAAAAAAAAACGCGCGGAATCGTACTCCTCCCGACCGGATATTACAGCGTTATTCGCCGATTAATTCGATATTTTCTTATTTTTCACGTTTTCGTTTTGCTAATACAGTATACATAAATATATTTATAGACGTACATATTCAGTATTCTTACAAATTGAAATTACGTGACGTTGTCGATTATGTCAACCGTTCTCAAGTATAACTGCGAATACATTATATAGGTATCTAATATTGTTCGAGATCTTACATTTATCACGGGGCTTAAAATAGTATGAATATTATGTTATATTTATACTATTATAGGTACCAATAAATTATTTATATAGAATATTGAATTTTTTTTTCAATATAATCAGGTATCTACGAGTGCCATTAAACGGATTAACAGCAAAAAACACACACTTAAGAATATAAAACTGTAACAATAGATTTGAAACACAATAGTGTTGTTTATATTATAAATATTACATACATCTACCTATACCTACGTAATACAATATGATTTGTATACTTCTATATTATGTACATAATAATAGAATAAAATATGTTACGACTCACGAGCTCCAGTGTTAGTATTCATTCCCTTTTGTTTGGCAGGTAGATATTGTGTTAAATTTTAATATTATTTTTACACTAACAAGACTTTATTCTAATTAGTATCAAATTAAATTTATAAAATATTTATAATAAATGTTGATTTCAGATTCTTAAGTAACACAATAACAAATAGTTAAATTTCTTTAATTTTGAGTTAAATTGTAAACTACAAAATTGATTAACTATATTACACACACACATGCGCGCACAAATCACTCTATATATTTTTTACATTTGGTAGTAATAATACAGATATAAACGAATGAAAGAAGTTTCTATTTATTATTTTTTGACGTGATATTTTTTTTCTAAAATCGCTTATTTTAGTCAGATAAGGTAGCCCAATATCTAGGTTTAAAATTAAATTCCATAATGTAGGTCTAAGTACGGCATTGAAAGTATTTATCTTTTTATACAAAGTAGATACTAGATAGATACCTATATAAATAGTTTGCAACTTTTTTCGATCCATTTTAATCTACAAGCTTTTAATTTTATTAATTATTTATTTTCATACCTAGAGACCTGCTGCAGTCAATTACTGTGTAAAAACTGTTTATGATGGAAATAAGTTTATAATAAGCAAAAAATTATTCGAGAATGACCAATGTACGCAAAAGAACAATACAACACCAGTAAGAATAATACTTTACTATGTATATTATAATAATTAATAACTTCATTTAGAAGGTATCTAAATATAATACAAAATACGTATGAGGTAGGTACTAACTACTAGCTAAGCAATATCACTAGGTATGTCAGTACCGACAGTATCTACCTATATACTAGAGTATAATTAATATTTGTATCAAATAGAACCTCAGAATACTAAATTATAATTATTTTCATGATTGCAATGTGTTAAAGATTTTAATATATTCTAAGAAACATTTAAAAATTATAAATAATGTATTTATTATGTATTATTTATTTGAACATAATATTTATTAAAAAATTAATTTACCAATATGGCTAATATTATGTGTATTTTATAAAAACTACGCTATTGCCATTTAGAAGGTGTAATAGCGAAATCAGTTATCGTTGTCATATACACATAGTGTAGTATAGGTATCTCTATTACTCATTGTTTTTCATTCAATATGACTTTGATTTTTGATCTATAAAAAATTGGAAAATTTTTTTAGTATTTTGATTAATAAGAAATTTATAATAATTTAAAAATCAAAATACTTAAAAAAAATTCTGTAATCAAAACACAAACTATACTGTAATTTTGTGGTGTCATCGCATACTTTTACAAATATATCTATGATTATGATGTGCAGCTAAAAATATTGTAAAAAGCAATATTTAAATCAAAATTGTTCGCTTTTACCCACATAATGGTACACCATCTATCATAATTTTAGCCATATAGCCATAATTAATAAAACACGGCAAATGCGTCGTTTATGGGATGTAAGGTTGGAAGGGTGTGAATTTGCATCCCATAGGTAGTTATATGTAACATATATTAGAAATTAAATGTGTAATTTAATGAAGAAGTTAAAATGATATTTAATTTGTATCCCAAGAAAAATGGTTGAATGACGTCTATGAGACATGGTGATAAATTGTAGTGTATTATACATTATTTGAGACAGATGAGATGAGTGATTGCACTATTGCGTCATTTTAATATTTGTAAGTGGTCAATAGTATGTATATAACATGGAAGTTGTTTAAACTTTGATTGCCAAGCAAATATATTGCAAAACCATAAGAAAATATAAAGAAAACAATTATAATTAATGATAATAAAAAAATTTAAATATTCTTTTAGAAATTGTAATAGTAACAACTAATAACCGCTTAAGTTAATATTTAAGTATATATTTTATATCTACTTATCATCTCTCACCGTATCATAAAAATTATGTACCTAATAACCGCATAGTATTGATTAATTCTTAATTCAAACATATTTTCAATGCATTCACTTAATCACTTATATTGTAAATGATATATGTATACATATAACGGAGGCTATACCGTTTGTAGACATATTTTTACAGTATTACTCCCCGTAGTATTCCCTACTTACTTCCCTTCAATAACAGTGTAATCCAGATGGCAGATTATTATTCGTATCACTGCTTAATAGTTAATATGTTAGGCTTAAGTGTATAACATACACACTTAACATTTTTTAATAGGAACCGGACACGAAATGGGTATCAAACTTGACTCTTTATCACGAGCTGTTGGACATAAACAATGACGGTGTTGTATCTATTGAAGATTTAAAAGAGCTGATTGAACGATTTTCAAAACTGAACAACATGACGAATGAACAAAGTTTTATGTTTAGCAGAGTTATCGAAGTACGACTTATTATACCTACCATATATTTTAAATCTTAAAGTAAGATATTTCTTAAAATAAACTGCAGGATCAGACAAATGTCGTGTATTACTTAAAATTACTGGCGAGTGGCGGCCACTTAGCTTTTGCGTTTTAAGAACTATTAAGTAAATTAATTAAATCAAACATTATTCTATTTGCTTCAAAAAATAAAAATAATTTTATTTTCCATGCTTTTAAGAGTTGTCATAAATCTCAATATTGTTCCATTTTAGTATGGTAAAATTAACAAATGTTTTGAATAAATGGCTGGTGAGTGGTGACGATGCTCTCCTCCCTCCCCCAGAGGTCCACACACAGGGCTTTGGACCCCTTTGCCTTGCCTACTCGCAGGCCATGGTATCTGTCATGCATATATTGAAATGGAAAACAACAAGATATTTTTAAACATGATTTACTTGATATAATATTTATATTTTACACATAATATTTAATTATCCCATTACAGAATTTATGGTACAAACATTGGGGATGCATTGATCCATTTGATTACATTACGGTAGAGAAATATCTGAAGTACATTCAATACGTAAAACAAAACAACAATGGTTTGAAAGATGAAGTTGTTCAACTTTTGCCATACTTGTTTAAGGTACGGAATTAATTAGTAAAACATTTTAGTATACAACGCCCGTCGTCCTTAGGGCAGGGTTCGTACCAAGCTCAAAGCTTAAACAAGCTCTGCGCTTTTTGACTTATTATGTATATCGTAATTTACCCAAACTAATTTTCCACGATGTATTGCCTAAATAATTATTTATGTATACTATTTTGAACTTATGATTATTAAGCATTTACAAAATTACAACCATTACAGAATTATTTGATGTTCAAACTTACTGTAAATACAGTAATTAAAAATATATTTTATGTTTAATAATCTATAATTAAGCAGTTAATTTAAAGTTATACATGTTATAGTATGGATAGTATTAACATGATATATTTCCACTAATTAGTAATTGTACAAAACTTTAATGACTGCTGTTATAGAGTTTATATGCATATATTTGCTATTAATAATTTATTTAAGGGTTAAAAGACATCACATCCATCAACATTATATTTTTAAAATCTGTAAGTAAAAATATTTATTTTCTTCAAAAATGTTCTCAAAGTTACGTTATGTAGTGATATTTTTCATATAAAAATTTTTTTTTAAGTAAAATATTTAGAAATTTATAAGCCCATGCTTTATTAAAAGTTTATCTTTATTTTTTTATTATAAACACTAATCAAGTTATATAAACTTATATCTACAAATAATTACCTAAACTGTAATTTTAAATTAATATACTACGTTGAATTATTTTTCTATTTACCAGTATTCATCTACATTTTTAAGTTCCAGAGTTCACCCTAGATTCCGTGGTCATGTATTGCGGTATCTTTCAGTTTTTGTGAAATAACATTTAGTAAGATCTAGTATCCTACAATACGTAACTTATGTGCATTTTTCGCCATTTTTATTACACAATATTTGAAAAGTCTATGATATATTTCGAAGTAGCTAAACTATATAATTACTTATTTTATTGATCTATACATTATTTTAAACATATAATGCTATGATAATATAATTTTAAGTTGAATATTTTATTTTTATCCATAATAATTGCATATTACAAATTACTAGTTAGGTATAACAATAATTTGATTACAAAAAATATACGTAATAATAATATATTAATATTATACACATTATATTTCTAAAGAAATTCATAAACTCGTGTTTATTTAATATACCTATAGTTTTTTTTTAAATGATTCACAAAATTTTGATTGTTAATTGTCTTTAAATTACAACTATACGCTGTTTATTTATATAGTTGCATTATCTAATATTCAATAACATAATATTTAAATTGTGTACTTTGAATAATTTTTATACATTATAAATTTAAATAAGTGTACTATAAACTATTTACTATATTTAGTATAAGTATATAACTTATGTAAATATACTTAAGTATACCCAGTATTTAAATATACCCAATATTTATATACAAGAAATTTACTTGAATAAATTTCAATATAGTTTGCTTTACATTTTAAAGTAGTCACCTATTTGCATAAAAATGTTTGTAATCTTGGAAATTCATTTTGAATTATTTCAACTATCATTACAAAAATAATTAAAAATATTGTTTTCCACACAGGTTGTTGACAAAGACCAGAATGGTGACATTTCAAAAGAAGAATATAATACATTTTTAAAATGCATTGGGACATCAAAGAAGGTAATAAATAATTATATTTAAATTACAATAAATACATTACTATAATACTATGTTTACCTTGAATTCTCGGCTATAAATGAGGTTGTAAATTAAATAATTATGCATATCTATAAATGGTATTCAAAATTCAAATTAAGTATGAGTTGAAAATTTGATTCAAGATAACCATTATAAATCCAAAATTGTTTTTTGCATATATATAGACCAATGTGCAATGCATATTGTGCATATCATAACAATATTTGTTTAATGTTTTAATAGTATATTTAATGAAAAAAATCTGGATTACTAACATATATTTAGAATTAAATGTCTATTTTTCGTACATTTTTTAGTAAATATTTTTTTTTTAAGAAGCTTATCTATTTATTTATTTATTTATTTATTATTTTTTGGGGGGGTTTATTGGGTCTTTAATACCGTCCAGTCTCACAATCAAACTTCCATTCTTTTCTATCCAGTGCTAGATTTCTCTAATAAGAACCATATACCATCTGTTTAATATCCTTTTTTATAATATCTTCCCATCACATTCTTGATCTTTTCAGAGGCATTTTACCTGCAGGATTTTATTCAATCATTGCATGGAGTAGTAGATTTTGACTCCTCTAAACATGACCAGCTCACCGTAGTTTTCTACTTCTGAAAACCTCCAATATATCCGAACTACTATATAATGTTTCCAGCTCTATTTTCTTTCTTTGTCTCCAGTTCCTAGTTATTTCGTCTTTGACGGGGCCATATATTTTCCGCAACACTTTTCTTTCAAAAACAATGAATGTGATTGTCAATTTTTTTAAGTGGCATGTTTCCGATCCATAAAATATAACCGATCGTATCAAGGACGTATATATAATTGCTCTTTCATTCTTCGCGATACTGCTTGTGAGCTTAGTACCTTAGACAATCCATAGTAACATTTATTCCCAACTTGAATTTTTGCTGCTACCACGTTAGCTACATTATTTTTTTTCAGTCAGAATAGTAACGAAGTATTTGAACTGTTTTATTCTTTTAAATACAAAGTGATCTATTTTTATACACTGACAAAACGGTAGTCACCGTCTACTCAAAAATATCTACTCCGTTTTTCCTTCGTTTACACATAACTCTTTTTTTTGATGCTGCTTTATACAGCCTAATGAATAAAATCTTCAACCTATCCTGAGACTCTTCCATTAGTACTATATCGTCAGCATAAGCAAGTAAACCTATCGATGTATTTTGTAGCCTAATGCCTTCATTTATCTATTTTAATTTCTCAAATAATCTTTTCCAAAACCACGTTGAACAAAATCGGCGACAGCGAATCGCCTCGAGTCCACTGTAACCGGATCAGTTATTGAATTTCCCAACTGAATTATTATCAAGGTCTCCATAACACTGATTGATATTAAATTGATCAGTTTTTGTGGAAAATGAAATTCTTTCATAATATTCAGTAGACTCTCTCTATGAATACTACCATACGCTATTTTTGAAATCTACGAAAAGTGTACGCATTTCTTTATCAAACTCATATTTTTTGATACAGCTGTCTAATTATGAACATCTGGTCCGTCGTGGATCTGTCAGCTCTAAACCCTCCTTGGTAGTGTCCTATTATTTTATTTGCTTTTTTTTTATTCTGTCTAAAACACAATTTGAGAATATTTTATGCGCTACATTGAGCAAGGATATTCCGCGATAGTTGTTGCAATATTACGAGTACTTATCTCCTTTTTTATGAATTGGACATAATACTGCCATTTTCCAATCATCTGGGAGTTTTTCTGTTGTCCATACTCTACTAATCACTTGCCAGATCCATTATTATTTTTCATAATTTAGATTTGTTTATATTACATACATTTTTAATATTTTGTGAATATTATTTTTTGATGAATTTCAAGTTATAAATATTTAATACTATAAATGTATTTTACGAAGTTTTCTTTAACAAAATTGAATATATTCATTAAAAATTTTAGTGCATATTTCATGTTTTTTTTTTTTGAGCATTAGGATTAATGTTGCGTTTTTGGTTTGTTGCACAGGCCAATTTAATTAAGTCATTGGGCATTGTAAACGACAAAGATGATGCAATTAAACTGGAAGATTTAATGTTGGTTATTAAAAAGCATTTGTTTTACAATAAAGATAAAATTCAAGATCAAGATATATCAATCAACAACGGCACCATCACCTATAAGTACAACAAATAATAATTATAACATTATCTATTATGTACACGGTACACCTAGCTGTAATCTGTTTAATGAATGTTACTACCTTAACCCCTATTTAACATAATATACTTGATTATTTTGGCATTAATATTACCTATGCCTACTTGTCACTTAACTTTGAAGATTTAATCTAGAATATTTGTATTACTTATTTAACCACCTATCATACTAATTCCATTGTAGATGTATAATGCTAAAACGAAAATAAAGTTCCAGTGGATATCAGCATATATATTGTTGTTTTATGATATAATAAAATATAAATGTTACTCCTTATACTGATATATATATATATATATTTTCTACTTTTCAGTATTGTCCTCGTGACAATTTAATGTTTACAAAAGGTATGATTCGCATTTTAGAACCAAAAAATTAAACATATATATATATATATATATATATATACATTATAATATTATAGTAACTTATCTATATATTATGGAAAATATATTGGTATAATACATTTTTTAGTTTGACTATATAATAAATAATATGATTATTATCGTTTGTGCGATTGATTTATAACCGTGTTCAATAAAAGACTTATCGTTATTTACCATAAAACTACATGCGTATACAGGGATTAGATATTCGACAACAATTATGACATTTTTATACGGGTATAGATTTTCAGTTATAACAACGATGTTGAATTTTTGGAAAGCTAACTGTTAAAACACAATGAAGTGTTTGAAAAAATGTATATGTGCTTACTTACGAATTACACAAAAATAGTATCTTTATGACTATATAATACACTTGTATATAGGCGTATATTGTCTAACGTGTACATTTTCTAGATTTTAGACGGTCTAAATTTATAAATAATTAATTTAACTAGGTTTAAACTAGGGTGACCAGACGTCCCGTTTAAAACGGGATTGTCCCGTTTTTGGTCATCATGTCCCGTTGTCCCGACAAACTTCGAACGGGACGCTTTTTATCCCGTTTTTAGAAGATGGTCCTGTTTTAATCCCGTTATTTCAATATTATTATATTATGTTTGTGAAAAAAATATCGATTTAAGAAACAATTAATATAAAACAGTTTTAGTCATATATATGTTTAAAATTAGAACCAAATTTATAAATAACAGACACCATGTTCAGCTGTGCGACTATTTCGATCGTCGTCGTCTTATCACACCGACCGACCAAACCACACACACGCTACACAATTATTATTATTATTCCTTAAATATAAAAGTATATAGACAGTCGTCTGCTATTTTTGTTTTTCAATTATTACGAATACCCGTATTACGGTATCGACAACTGGACGACAAGCCTGTAGTCTTATGAATATTATAATTATATTGATTCGATTATTAATAATATTATTATTATTCTATTCTAATTCTATTATGTTCTTTATCGTTTTTACGTTGTCCGTCTTCTTCCTTCTTTTATAGGCATTACGCGTTTATCGCTAATAGTTGTTAGTTGACACTGTTCGCTGTTGATATTCGATCAATGAATTTCTTTCTGTAAACTCATTCTTTGGGGTGGGGGGGGGGGGTTAGACGTTTCAGATGTCCCGTTTTTTTATTTTCTTAATATGGTCACCCTAGTTTAAACTCAATTATGCTATACAACTCGTATAACTGCATTATATCCCTCATTTATCCAAAATATTTGAAACGCTTGTTCTTAATTCGATTCGTTCTCCCTTGAATCATATCCTAATTGATGAGCAGCATGGCTTCCGCCCTGGTAGATCAACTATTACTTGTAACCTTAGTCTACATTCATATATATATGATTCTTTTCGCGATAACTGCCAAGTAGATGTAATCTATACAGATTTCTCCAAGGCTTTCGATCGTGTTGATCATAATCATCTTATGTCGACTCTAGACTCTATAGGAATCGGCGAATCACTACTTTCCTGGTTTCGCTCATACATTATAAATAGGATCCAATGGGTAACTGTTGATTCCACCTCTTCGGACCGCTTTACCCCCTCCTCAGGTGTTCCACAAGGTGCTGTTCTTTCTCCACTTCTGTTTGCCCTATTCGTAAACTCAGCAGACTCCGTCCTCCAGCATGCCAAACTTCTTATCTTTGCTGATGATATGAAAATCTTTTTCCGTATAAAATTCATCTTTGACTGTCACCTTCTTCAAAACGACCTTCAGCGATTAGTTGCGTGGGGTGAATCTTTGGGGCTAGCTCTTAATATAGTTAAATGTTCAGTAATGACTTTTAGTCGTATTAATGTTGTAATCGAGCATATTTACTCCGTAAACAATACCGCCTTAACCACCTGTAATAACTATGTAAAGGATTTAGGATTTACTCTCACACGGAACCTGTGCCCTAATATGCATATTCAGATTATATGTTGTAAGGCTCTTAAACTGCTAGGTTTCATAAACCGTGTCTCTTCAGACTTCCACTTACTCTCCCATCTAAAAACTCTTTTCTGCTCCCTAGTCTGTCCCATCCTTGAGTATGGTTCCGTCCTCTGGGACCCGTCCACCGCTTCCGCACGTAGCATGATAGAAAGGGTTCAAAGAAAATTCCTCTGTCAAGCTGCTTACAAACTAAAGATAGTCTGTCCATCTCACGATTACACGCCAATCCAACGCCTCTTTTCCTTAGAAAGCCTCTCCGATCGTCGTCATTCAGCAAACTTGACATTTCTATTCAATCTTCTTTCATCTAAAATTGACAGTCCTGAATCACTATCCCGTGTCTCATTTAATGTCCCCTCTCGCCTTACACGATCATCTGTTCCATTTCATATACCTTTCTCTTCCTCAAACTACTATCTTAACTCACTGATCATCCGTCTTATGCGCATTGCCAACACTGACCCTTCATTCTCTCTCTGATATTGAGCCACGTTTCCATAAACTATTAAAACTATTATTATTATACTATTATATTCATGTATCGGGTTCGTCCCGTATTGTAAAATAAAATAAAATAAAAATTACTTTAATGCACTGCAGACGCATAGTGCACATATGTTTAAACATTGTTTTCTCTGGTAATTTGAAATTATAATCATATTAGTGTCCATGTTGGACTATTTGAAGTTAATATTGTTTGATATTGTTTTCGTAGATAACAGATGAGAAATAGGAATATATAATGCATAATGTATTTAATGAATGTATTACCTATACAAGTATATATATATATGTACAGTGAAACGTTAAACGCTTATGACAGACGACAGTTAAATAATAATAAAAAAAAAAATATCAGATGATAATGCAAAAGTCTACAATTTAATTTTTAAGTCGTCTTTTATAAGTGCTTAATTGAAATAAAAAAACATTCTGAGTTATAACGATCAGTTGTATGTAAATCGCATGTCAAGTCGCATCCGGTATGAACGGTTTGCGTACCTAAAGTATATCACAATATAAATTATAACATATTGTGAATTTGTGACCCGGGCTAGGCACTATGGGGACAATAATAATTATTAAAGAATAGAGTATGTTTTATTGTCATTTAAACGAGTGGCGACAATCTAACGCGTAATTCTAAACGCGTCATACTCATACATATTGTATAATATTAATCATTATTCATTAATAATAAAATGCATAAAAATATATCGTATGAAATAGCTATATAGGCGTTAATGCTAAATAGTATATATTCTCATAGTCCTCGGGAGTAGGAGGAAACAGGCCCCGGACTTCGCAGTTTTTTACTTAGATTTGGATTTGAATCGAGTTCGATGAAATAATAAGAAAATTATATTATTTCATAGCATAAAATGTTATGTTTCATGTAGAAATAATGACAAAGGAATTTATTAGAACTAATAAATAAATTAATACTGTTAAAATCAAACATAATAATCAAATATTATGATGATAGGAAAAATATGGTAGGAAAAAAGTACAAAACTAAGAAGTACAGAAATACTTTCAAAAAATCCTAGAGCTTCTATTCTGTGCACTACTCGTGTATGGTCTTAATTTTCTTTTTGGAGATATGGTACATCGTCCATTATTACACTGGTTGTAATGGTTTTTTCTGCTTTCTTACTAATTGATGGTCAATTTTTCAGAAGTTTTCTTTCACTTTGAATTTATTAAATGCTTTTTTAATCTGCTTTTTCCGTCTTCTAAATTAATTTTTTAGGGGAGGGGGGGGGGCTCGATATTATATCCTCTGTCAAATCACGCAATCACAATAAATGGCAATCGTATTTACTATATACCTATGTTATATCGACATATCGTATCTGAGACGAGAATACAATAATTTGTCGGATGTGTCGTCAACCAACCCATAGACTTTTCGCGACGAATAAACCTAACATCACAACAACATTAATATACAATTAGACATGTACAATAAGTTTGTCTTTGGGCGAGACGGTTGGCTGTACAGGTTGCGCTTACGAGCCCATTCTCGTTTCAACCGTTTCAAGTGGCCGCTTACGCGCAACCGTACGAAATATAGGTATTACGAGTACGTCACGACCTCGCATACGGCGTGCGCCAAACCGCAAATATTACAATATCGCACCGCCGCGCACGCCAAACGGATCGAAATCCACGCGCGGTTTATTTCCTCGATAATACCATAATATTGTACGGCGCGCGTGCATATACGGTGCGCGAATATTATTGTAACCGTGTACACGTTCTTGACGGGGACAAGTGCCAAACCAATCCACGTTACGGCGTCAGTGGGCCGACGGGCGAGAAAAAAATAACAACGTCGGGTAAAAAAAAAAAAAAAAATCGCGCGCACGTTAATCGGGCCAAAGGCGGTGGCAGCGTTCAGCGCGCGCTCGCGGATCAATATCGGTCCGGTGACGGATCGCGGTGAGTCGAACGCGCGCGCGGCACAGCCAACGCGGCCGCCGCCGATGTCGCACCACCAGTCACCACCACCGCCACTATAGCACCACCACTTCTACTGCTACTTCTACTGCGGCTGCCGAAACTGCACTGCACACACGCGCGTACGTTGTATATTATAATGATACGATAATAGTAACGCAGTAGTGGTATTATAACGGCGATGATAACGGCGAAAACGATAATAATAATAGGTACCTAATAATAAATGATCGCAAACGAGCACGCTCCCGAGCCGTGCGTACGGAACCCGAACGTCCCGAACCCTGCGGTGTGACGGCGGCAGGAGGGAAATAATAATAACCTACATTACGCGTAGGTATATGTACGGCCGAAAACTGGATTGAAAATAAAATAATAATAGAAAAACGATACAGCGC